CTGCCGGGCCCCTGTCTTCTTCTCTGAGGAGAAGTCTGTAGTGGACAGGAGTGGCCCTCACGCTTTGGGGGTAGCTCCTGGCTGAGTCAGGGATCTCTCACTGACCCATTTGTCTTGGTACCTGTCCCCCAACCTGTCTTTTTTGTCACTGGCTTATTAAAAATGGCTACCGTTGGCTGGGGATTTAGCTCAGGGGTTTCGCTGCCTGCCTCACAAGCTGAAGGACCCGAGTTCGATCCCTGGTACCAAGAAAAAGAAAATAGCTACCATTTGTTGAGTGCTTATTATGTAGACACTTAGATATTTTTCTCATATAATCCTGGTCACAACCCAGCAGTAAAGGGGTTATTATGCTCATCCTACAAGAGAGAAAACAAGTTCAGACCTGAATAACTTGTCCAAAGCTCCTTAGGTGACGTAAATAGCAGGGTTGGGGCTTTGGTAACATTTATTAAGTGCTTACTGTGTGCTAATGAGTATTCTGCTCAATAATTTCTACTACATTACACCTATGAAATAAACACTGCTATTATTCTCGTTTTACATATAAGGAGAAGCCTAAGCATAGAGAATTAAGTAACTTGCCCCAGTCCCATAGCTTTAAATCACAGAGGCAGGATTTGAACCCAGATCCAGGTGATCCAGAGCTTAGACCTTGATCTTGTGCTCTACGGTATTCTTCCCCTTATCTGCTTCTTGCTCATCTGTAGTTTTGCTTTTGGAGGTTTCCATTATCTGCAGTCAACTGTGGTGTTGCACTAGTGAGTGGAGGCAGGCCTGATGGCACCGTCTTGTAATTCCAGCCACTCAGGAGGCCAAGGCAAGAGGATCACAAACTCAAGGCCAGCCTGGGTAATTTAGCTAGACCTTCCTCAAAATTAAAATAAAGATAAAAGGGATGGAGATGTTGTGCAGTGATAGAGGCCTCTTGGGTTCAATAAAATAAAATAAAAGCAAACTTCCAGAAATAAACAATTTATAAGTTTTACATTGTGCACTATTCTGATTAGTGTGGTGAAACCTTGCATGGTTACATTCCATTCCATCTGGACAGGAATTGTCCTTTGTCCAGTGTATCTATGCTGTAGAAACTACCCTGCCCATTAGTCATGTAGTAGCTGCTAATTTAGTTATCAGATTGACTGCAGAGATTTTGCAGTGCTGATGCTCAAGTATCCATTATTTTACTTCATAATTGCTGCAAAGTGCAAGAGTAGTGATGCTGTCCATTTGGATAGAGAAGCTGCACAGTACCTCCTTTAAATAAAAAGGGGAAAGTAAAATATTGTATTACAGTATAATTGTTATGGCATATTATTAATTATTGGTAATCTCTTGCTCTGCCTAATTTAAAACTAAATAATTTGGTTTAAGTTAAACTAAAATAGCTATAAACTTAACTTGATTATAGGTATGCATGTATAGGAAAAAAATCATATGTGCACAGGATTTGCTACTGTCCATGGTTTCAGTTATCCACTGGGGGTCTTGGAACATCTTGGACAAAGGAAAACTGTGCTGTGCTCTCTCCATCCTCTAACATCCTCTAATGTGACTCTAACATTCAAGCTTGTTTTGCTACAATACATGGTTGGAAGGGGGCTAGTAAAATGATGTGGGAATTGTAAGGGCAACCCCATGTGAACAGCTTGGTCTGGTGCTGTTGGAGTATGACTTAGTGAAGTGCAAAGTGAGGCAAAAGGATTGTGTTTGGGCTGGGACTGTAGCTCAGCATGCAAGAGGCCCTAGCTTCAATCTTGAGTACAAAAAAGAAGGAGAAAGGAAAAGAAAAAAGATGGTTGTATTTAACACAGTGCTTTTCCTGCCCTATGATGGGCACTGCTATGCTGAGCCCTGGTGCTGCTGGGAGAGGGTTTTACAAGTACCTTCCAGGGCCAGGGATTTAGCTCAGTGGTTTCACCACCTGCTGTGCAAGCACAAGGATCCGAATTTGATCCCCGGTACTAAAAAAAAAGAAACTACAAGTACCTTCCAGGCACATCCCTACTCTGGCTCCCCTCACCTGAGGCCCAAACACTGACTAAGCCTGCAGCACAGTTTCTGGGTAGTGATGCCATCTTTACAACTACACCAGAGTTGCGCTCCCATTGGTGACAACAGCAATGAGCAGTTTGTTAATGTCGGCTGAAATCTATACAATTTTTTTCCTCCTTTGAGGGACTCGTCTAACTCCAAATAAAGAGAGGAATAACAAGGAGCAAGGGAGGATTTCTTATAAGCAATTTAAGTTTATCGAGGCATATTTAGTGAGTATGGGCAAGAAACTTACCATTGTGATCCCCGGTCTCCTCACTGGACTGTTGTGAGGGTTAAATGAGATACACCTTAATTAGTACAAGGAGCAGGTGAACTATTATTATTTTTTCACAGTGTGAAGCTAATATTTGAAATTAATTTTAACATTTGTTATTTGTGGCCAACAACAGTGGTGCTTCTGTCTGCAGGAGATCTTTCATGAAGTTTGGCTTAGAAGTGAAAGGGTACTGCTGGGCCCCACATGTTTGTTTGTGCTACAGTCAAATTTCAGGGTGAACCTGAAAAGCTGTATATCTGGTTAGCACCCTTCTGTACCAAACCTCACACAGGCTCAGCTGGCAATTGGACAGCCCCAATTTTCCCAGGATTATTAGACCAGAAGTGAGTTCTGCAAATGCTGCCAGCTCTTCTCTGTCCTGCCAAGGTCTGGAACAAAGTCCTCATCCCCACCCTTGCTCCACAGTGTCACCAAGTCTCTGGCCAGGCGTTTAGCTGTGGCTGTCCCTTCTCTCCCCCGCAGCAAGGGGGATGAGGGCCCCTTCCCTCTGTGGCCCCTTATCACTCATCAGCAGGGCCCTGCCCAGCAAGACAGAAGTACAGGAGCCAGTGTTAGCTGTGTGTGGGACACAGTTCTCAAAGTGTGGTACCCACACAGACTGATCAGAATTCCCTAGAGAATGTTTTAAAAATGCATGTTTCTTGGGCCGGGGATTTAGCTCAGTGGTTCTGCTGCCTGCTTTTTAAGCAAAAGGTCCCGAGTTCGATCCCCGGTACCAAACAAACAAACAAACATGTTTCTTGCTGGTCCCGGGTAGAGTGAATCAGACTGGAGTGGGAGTGAGACAAAAAGATGTGCATCCCTAACCCACTGCAGAGGACTCTGATGTGTGATAGAGCCAGGAGTGGCTGGATGGGGAGAGGTCAGAGAAGTGGAAGCTCAGCAGAGGACCCTAGAAGGATGCCAGATACCACCCTTTTTCCTTCCAGCCTCATACCCTCTTCTTAGCCACTGTTTGGGTGGGTGAAGGCCGCCAAGGCAGATTCAGCCTACCTGGGGTTCTCTCTCCATCCAGCTGCCAGCCCCCACTGCAGAGTGCTCACCAGAGTCCTCACTGGCTACCAGGGCGGACAAGAGGCAGGAGGTCAGGCAGAGGCTGGGGACACAGCTGCAGCAGCCCAGGGCTCTGTTTCCTCCCCCAGCCCGGGCCTCTAGGGCAGAGGAAGCCCAGGCAGGAAGGCCAGAGCTGCCATGAGGCAGAGGCCCATGAAGCCCCCTACCCCGCCCCCAGCCACCCCACTGTCAGAGCCCCAGCACCTCAGGTTTTCATCTGGCACCATTCTTATGCAGTGGGCCTTCTGCAGCTTCTGCAGCCACATACGTGGCCCTCCCAGCATCACTCTCATGTTAGCCAGCCTGGCTGAGGATGCAGTCCCAAACACAGGCCTGCACGCTCTCGGGCATTCAGAAAGCCTTCGTTGTGATCTGAGCACCATCCTCCTCCTTTCCTTTGGGGAAGGGGTGCTGGGGTGGACCTCACACGCGCTGGGTAAGCACAGTACCACTGACCCACACTCCAGCCATCTTCTCGGTCTAAAGCTTTGAGAAGCAAAGAGTGGCTTCCGAAGCGCTAGCTGACTTGGAACCCGAGATGGGGACTATCACAGATGAGAATTAACTCCCCTTAACCCTCTCCATCAAGCTTCTGGCAAAATCACCCCACCCAGCCACGGGAGCTCAAACATTCGGGGTCTAGTGTGTTTCACTTCCTCTCCCATCTCGCTGGCCCTCCCCCAACCCTTTCCCAAACTGCAGCGAGGGAGAAGGGGACCAGGGAACAGCTCTGCGAGGCCCCTTTCACTCGGGTGAGGTGCTAGAGAGGTTCCTTGGCACCGGGCGCGACCCAGCACTGTCCACACTTTGTGTGGTTATTACATGGTTGTTAGCGGACTGGGAGCTGACACAGGGGTTGGACTCTTACTACTGCCACTGAGTCCTGTCTGACCCTGGACAAGACCCCTCCCCTGTGTAAGCCTTAGTCCCTTCTCTAAAGCCAGAAGCTGAACTTTGCCTTTCCCAGGTGTCCTTGTCAGGTGGGTGTCTCAGCCCTAGGTGGCTCCTCCTCCCGCAGCTGCCCCTGCCTGCCCTGACAACCTGCCCTTAAGTCCCTGCTTTGCGTGACTCCTGCCTGTTCTATCCAGACCCCAATCTAAACAATCTTGATTCCTGTTCTCAGCTTGGCGGGACCCTGAATGGCAGGAAGTGAAGACGGGAGCCTGTTTATGTTTGAGGCAGCCAGGGCTGGTGGGGGGGCACTGGGAAAGGGCTGGATAGGGGTGGAGGTTGAGAGGGGCTGGGCAGGAGGCAGAGGACACAGGGGACTGCTGAAGAGCTGCTCCTGGCACCCTGGCCCAGGCCCCCTTTCGGCCTCCCAGCCCGCCTCCAGTCTGAACTCAGCAGAGGGGTGCAGAGCTGCTGTCCCTCGGGCTCCCTGTCACTCAAACGTGGCTCACCACCCTCACCCCTAACAGGATGGTTTCCATGGGGAAGTGAATCAGGACTTCCCTTGCAGGCCCCGCCCCAAAGCCAGGCACAGGGAGTGCAGAGGTAGCTTTGCTGCCTCCCCCCACCAAAAAACAACTCCCAGTGATTTCCTCCTGGCAGGAGGGAGCCACGGTCAGCAGCTCTCACATCTTGCAGAACTTACCTCACCTCCTCTCTCCAGGGATGATGACCTTGGCCCACCCCAAAAGGGACCTTCTGATGCTGCTGGTGGCCTTGGGCCTGACCCAGGGTGAGTATGGAGAGAATGGCAGGGAACATGGGCCAAGAGTATCCGAGCTCAGCTCAGCTCCCCTCTTGCTGGACTGAATCTAAGGAGTTAGGGACAGGAGGATGGAAGCTTGGCTGAAGGTGGGCACTAAGAGGCTCAGTTAGGCTCAGCTCCCAGCCACCCCAACTGTCTTTTGCTGTCTGTCCTCTTGATACGAACCTTCAGGCTGGTGCTCTGTCAAACTCCAGGGTGGGAACCACATTTGGCTTATATATGGGGTGGAGGGATGGGGATATTGGCAGGGAAAGCCTGAGAAAGCCCTCAGAGCCGGAGGCCAGGGCAGGCCTGGCACTGGGAGAAGAAGTCCTGGGACCAGGCAGTGGGCAGAAGCTTCCTGTAAGGCTCTGAGGGGAGGAGGATCAGTCGATGGAAGTAAAAGATCAAAGCCCCAGAGGTTTGTTTGAGGGATGACGGGGGCCTGGGAGGGGGGTCAGTGGGGCAGAAACAAGCATTGAGCTCACCTTGGGGCAGCTGTGCCCAGAGTGGCTGAGCCTCTGTTGTGTCTCCCAGGGAACCCTGTGGAGCCTTTTCAGAGGCAGTTGGTGACCTGTACATGTGAAAGCCCACACTGCAAGGAGACCACCTGCCAGGGGCTCTGGTGCACAGTGGTGCTGTTTCTGGATCAGGAGGGTCACCGCCAGCAGTTCCAGGGCTGTGGGAGCCAGAATGAGGAGCTCTGCTGGGGCCGTGCCACTGAGTTCGCCAACCATTTCTGCTGCTCCCGCTCCTTCTGCAACCAAAATGTCTCCCTGTCACTGGAGAGTAGGTCCAGCAGCCCCAGCAGCCCCTCCCCATCTCCTGTTTTGTTCTTGTGCCCTGGGGGGTGAGGGGTGGGGGGTGGGGGACCAAATGCTGGGATCTGGCTGGGAGAATGGTCTGGCCCGAGAGCAGGGGGCTGGCTTGGTAGAAGCTGGGCCTCAGTGTACCCCTCCTCCAGCTACCCAGGCTCCTCCGGAGCAGCCAAAAGCAGATAGCCAGCTGCCTCTGATCCTGGGCCCCGTGCTGGCCTTGCTGGTGCTGGTGGGCTTGGGTGCTCTGGGCCTGTGGCATGTCCGGCGGAGGCAGGAGAAGCAGCGAGGCCTGTACAGCGACCTGGGTGACTCCAGCCTCGTCCTGAAATCATCTGAGCAGAGGGACAACATGTTCGGGGTATGGGTCTGGGGGAATTTGGAACTGAGGGTGGAGGGTGGGGATATCGGAGCCACAGAATCAGAGGGAGTCACTCAGAGATTATAGCTGGCTGGGGGATGGCCAAGGGAGGAGCATGCAGTGACCCAGCAGCAGGATCCAGATGTAGAAAAAGAAGGGGCCCGTGGCTGGTGGGGGCAGCCTCTCAGTGGCTTCTTGGTATCCTCAGGAATTCCTGGACAGCAGCTGTACCACAGGCAGTGGCTCAGGGCTCCCCTTCCTGGTGCAGCGGACGGTGGCACGCCAGGTCACCCTGGTGGAGTGTGTGGGTGAGCAGTGGGTGGGCCCAGGGGAAGGGGGCTAAGGGCTCCCACAAACCTGGGGGGATGAGGGAGCTCTTGGCTTCCAGAGTAATCAGTGGGGCCAGACCCGGGTCAGAATGGGAATTCTGCTGGGCCAGGAACTGACTGGAACTGGGCCAGGATGGGGTCCTTCTGACGGATGGGGGTGGTCTGGAGCTGGGTTTAGGTCTGGATTAAGTTATGTGTAAACCCAGAGGTCCTGCAAGAGGGTCCTGCACACATCGAGATGGGTGGGGGAGGCTCTTGCACGCTCTCTGTGCCCAGTGTATAACTCTCGTCCTCCTTTCTGGCCACCGGATCAGGAAAGGGCCGCTATGGCGAGGTGTGGCGGGGCTTGTGGCATGGTGAGAGTGTGGCTGTCAAGATCTTCTCCTCGAGGGATGAACAGTCCTGGTTCCGGGAGACCGAGATCTACAACACAGTGTTGCTCAGACATGACAACATCCTAGGCAAGGGAGACAGACCCAGTGACAGGCCCGGGCCTCTTATCCCCACCCTCAGGCTCCAGGTCCACAGGCCTCTGGACGTTACCCTAGCCCTGAAGGAGTTCCGGCCCACCTTCAGCCCCAGTCTCTAACCTAAGTCCTAAATCCAATCAACCTTCAACCAAGTCCCACCTTTACTGTGCCCCAGCCCTACCCTGCCCCGGACTAGTCCAGCTTTCTTCCTCCCCAGCCCTGTGGCTGAGCCGCCCTGACCCTTCTGCACACAGGCTTCATCGCCTCAGATATGACGTCCCGCAACTCCAGCACGCAGCTGTGGCTCATCACGCACTACCACGAGCACGGCTCCCTCTATGACTTCCTGCAGAGGCAGACTCTGGAGCCCCAGCTGGCCCTCAAGCTAGCTGTATCCGCAGCATGTGGCTTGGCGCACCTGCACATGGAGATCTTCGGCACCCAGGGCAAGCCAGCCATTGCCCACCGTGACCTCAAGAGCCGCAATGTGCTGGTCAAGAGCAACCTTCAGTGTTGCATCGCAGACCTGGGTGAGCTGTGTAGGGTGAGGCAAACGGGTGGGCAGGGCGCTGTTCTGCGCTCTATCTCTCTCCTGCCTGTTTGCAGTGGGGGTGGGTGGCTGCAGCTCTTCGTGCTTTAAGAACCTGGAAAGGTGTGCTATTTCATTCCACTCCCACAAGAGCCACACAACTTGTTTGAACACCCTGCCCAAACCCAGATGCCCTCCGCCACCACATGGAGCTGGGAGAAAAGGGACAAAGAACCAGGAACCTGGGTTCTCATTCTAGCTTCACCGCCTACATTGTTCCCCTCCACAGGCCTCCAGGTTCTGCTCTGTGAAATGGGTGTAATAAAGCCTGCCTTGCACATTCACCTCTTGCTAGGTCCCTAGGAACCACAAACAAAGGCTAACTGGGACAGCTGGTCTCCCTCTGCCACTATCTTCCAGGCCGGCTCAGGGCAGGTCTCCCATTGCCTGCCCCTCTTTGCCTCCCTGTCACTATCCATCCCCACCCAGAGACAGCCCTGGTGTGGGCCAGGGTAAGCGGCAGAAGTGACAGGCCTCACACCCACAGGCCTGGCTGTGATGCACTCCCAGGGTAGCGATTACCTGGACATCGGCAACAACCCAAGAGTGGGCACCAAGCGGTACATGGCACCTGAGGTGCTGGATGAGCAGATCCGCACTGACTGCTTCGAGTCCTACAAGTGGACCGACATCTGGGCCTTCGGCCTGGTGCTGTGGGAAATCACTCGGCGGACCATTGTCAACGGTGAGGGCCCACTGTGCAGTCTGTGTGTGGGAGGGATGGGCAGGTGGAGATGGGGCTTCCTGCCGAGGCTGGTGCCCATGGCCGGAGGGGTTTGTGACTAGACCTCCTGGTACCCCTTCACTCCCACTCACCAACTGGTTCAGCTGAGTGACCTGTTAAGGTTCATCTGGTCTATGAATCTGGCCGTGAAATCTTGGGTTAGTGATAACAGAAATATTATTAACAGCTAATAGCTACTGAGATTCGATATGTGTCATGCTATATACTCTATATCTATTGTCTCATTTAAATCCCCTGTATTGACAGAGAAGTAATATTGCTTAGTGGTTAAGGCTGAGCCTTGGACTCAGATTGCCTGGGTTCAGTTCCAGATTTTGCTGTGACTGTGGAAAGTCTATGTGGTCTCCCTGTGCTTCAGTTTCCTCATTTGGGAAATGAGAATAAAAATAGCTTCTGTTTGCTGAGAAATGAAACATTTGGAACCATATCTAGAACTCAACATGCGTGGCCATTATTGTTATAACAGAATATGTGCCTGATATAATAGTATCCCCATTTTATAGATGAGACTGAGATACAGAATTACGGCAGACTGGAGGCAGCTTCAGTGTGTCCAAAACCAGGCAGTCTGAATCTAGGGCCAGTGGTCGCTATCACTGTGACACTTGAACCTCTGTGGTCCTTGATTTCCTCATCCACGAGCATGTAAGCAATCACTGCTGCAGACTGTCACTGTCACCCTACTTTCTTACTGTGGCCTCATTATCACCGTGAGTTACCATAGAGAACTCTGATTTGGAGGGGCTGGGAGCAGGTGGAGGCACCTGCCCCAGGGAGCCCTGTGGCTAGTGATGTCCCAGCCCCAGGGTGGATGGAGGATGGCAGGTTGTCTGCAGCGGCGGGAGTATTGTTAGGCCTTATGGAGACTGTCCATGGCCAGGAGCTGCCAGCAGTTCTGAAAGGTTGAGGACAACCCTCAGGACCTCACTGGGGCCTTGCTCCTTCAGAACAGGAATCTTCTCATTCTTGAGCATCTACCAGTTGCCAGCCTCTTGCCACACTTCATTTGCCCTCACTGATCATGCACTGAGAGGAGAGACCCAGGTGTCACTGGTCCCTGGGGAGACTCTCCAGGAGCTCCCAGTCCTGGGCCTAACACCAAGAGTGGGCTGGAGGAGGCTGGAGCTGGAGGAGGGGGCACACAGACAAAGCCAAGGCCTCCTGGCCCAGCCTGCAGGCCGAAAAGGAAGGGCTGGGAGGGAGGCTGCTGGGCTGAGGGGGAAGCTCCGTCACCCCACACAGATTCTCAGTGCATTATAAACACTGTAATCTGGTGTCAGCCCCGGCACTGATTAAAGGCTCATTAGACACGCTCAAGCCTCTGCGCAGCACTGATTAGGGACGAGCGGCACAGGGGCGGCTTGGAAGCCTGCCATGGGGAGAGCAGCTGGTGAAGGCTCCACTGAGGTTGTGGCCTGCATGGCCACAGCCCCCAGCAGGATGGCATGGGCCTGCCGCAGCTCTGTAGGCAGAGTTTTCAGAAAGCTCCAAAGGACTCTGCACGTGGTATGACATGGGGCAGGGTAGGGATGCTGCGGGCCATGATGGTCAGTAAGACCTGGGCCTTCCCTGATGGGTGTTTCTTGGACTAGGGTAAACATTCCTTTCTCTTTGGAGAGGTATCTTCTTGTCTTTGTTCCACTTATCACTCAGCAATCAGTTAGCTGCCCTCCCTTAAGTGTAGCTTGGAGCTTGGGAGCAGGGCTTTGGTATTAGATTTTTAGGTTTAAATCCTAGCTCTGTCATTTACTACTTGTTGATCTTAGACAAATTTCTTAAACTCTCTGGGCATACTCCTTGGCTTATCAAGTGGAGCTAAGAGTATTGCGTACCTCTTTTGGCTGTTGTGAGGATTTAATGCAGAGCCCTTAGGACAGTGGTTAGCACCCAGTAAGTATTCAGTAAAGATTAGGTGTTATGGGGCATCAGTAATAGTCAGAGACAGGGAGTAGTCACTGAGCCTGGGTAGAAGTCAGCTGGGGAAAGACTGGGACAAGAGCTAGCCTAGGACTCCAGTGACATAGGCTGGAGACTGGACTGTGCCATACCAGTTATGTACCCTTGGGCTCACCTTCTCTAAGCATCAATTTCTCGGTCTCTAACACGGGGGTAATAACAGTGCCCCCATCAAAGGGTTGTCGTGATTACTAACAGGATAATGGACATAAAGTGTTTATAGCATAATGATTGGCTCATGGGAGGTGCAAAACTAAGGTCGTAATTACTAATAGCAATATGTGTATCCATTGTGATACCCCTCTCAGGGGCAGCATGCCCAGACAACTAGTTTCCTGGCCCCTGGGACAGAGGCTGGGCAAAGCTGTCCTCTGGGTAATAGGTGGCCTCCTTGGGTCCCAAGTGACTGTCTCATCCCCTCTCAATTTCCAGGTATTGTGGAAGACTACAGGCCACCCTTCTATGACATGGTGCCCAATGACCCCAGCTTTGAGGACATGAAGAAAGTGGTGTGTATCGACCAGCAGACTCCCACCATCCCCAACCGGCTGGCTGTAGACCCGGTGAGGCTTCTACTGGGGCTGGGATTGAGACTGGGGATGGAATGGGATGGGTTGGGGCTCACAGCTGGGATTTCTCGGCCCTGGAACTTGTGTCCTGGGCCTCTGCTTCTTGGATGCATTCTGGGTGTCCTGGGTATTCTCTCCCACATCCTTGGCCTGTAGACTCCACCTCCTCAGAATCCTCTGATCAATATGAGATTTTTCAGAACCATTCACCTTGCCTGTGAAAAGTCAGAAGATTTCTGCTACATTTCTTGCTTGGAGTTTGCTATCATTTTTTTTTCTTTAAAAAAAATTCTACATACTTGTATACAGACAGACACATGTGGCTATAAACACATACAGGCACAAGTATGCTTCTAAATGCACACTCTCAGACACATATACATTCACAAATAGGCCAAACTATTGGCCCCATGAGGACAAAATGTATGACTCTTTTGCTCACTCTTGTGTCCCTGTTACTTATCACGTGCCTGGCATCCAATGCACGCTCAGTAAATATTTACTGAAGGACTTACTAAATGTACACACATACGTATACATAAACACAGGCACGTTTTTGCACAATATATAGCCATAAAAAGCCACATAGATGCGTTCCTGTGCACAGGTACATACACTCACTCTCAGGAACTAGAGTTGGTAGGGCTGGCTCATTCCAAGACCACTGACCTTCCTGGGGTTAGGGGGTTCCTCCTTGAACACATGCATTTTTAGGGCAGTGCCCATCACCCATACTTCTACCATCCACTGGGCCCAGCCATGGTTGATGCAAGGGCTGGGAGTCACTGCTTCATGTACTGGCATCTCAAGCTGCAGACAGGGATGCAGGAGCCCCAGGATTTGCAGAGCTGCCCTTCACAGTGGGGTCCGGAGGAGGCAGGGGTGGGGTAAGGTGATCTACAGGTCCTGTTCACCCAGGGGCCCTGAGGCTCCTCAAGACCTGAGCGTGCTTTCTGCCTTCCCCTACCCCCTTTCTCCCTCCACTCCCTTCCTTTCCCATTTATCTTCCTCTCCTCATCCCTGCCTGGTTCCCTCCATTGCCCCCTCCCTGTTTGCCTTTCCTCTTGCGTGCTGTGCACTACTCTCATCACCTTCTTCCTGTCATTTCTCTCCTGCTTGTCTCTCCATTCCTGGGCCATCTGTCTCACTGTCTCCCTTCCATCTTCCCTGACTCATGTCCCTGCTTCCTCTCCTCTGCCCCTCTCCCAACTCCCAGGTCCTCTCAGGCCTGGCTCAGATGATGCGGGAGTGCTGGTACCCTAACCCTTCTGCCCGCCTCACCGCGCTTCGCATCAAGAAGACCCTACAGAAACTCATCCAAGGCTCGGAGAAGCCCAAAGCGATTCACTAGCCCAGGACTGCTGGACTCCCTCTGCCTGCAGGGTGAGGCAGCAGGGCATGGTGGCCTATCTTGGTAGAGGCAATGTGTGTGTGTGTTGGAGGGGATGCCCCACTCTGGGCAGCTGTGCCTGCCCAGCGGGGCCCCCAGCCCATCCAGCCAAAAATACAGCTGGGATGAAATCTGATCCCCTCACTGTCTGGCCCACTCAAAGTGGCCGGCTCCCTGCCGCCTGGCTGTCTCCCCATCCTCATGCCAGCAGGGTGTGCCCCCTACCACTTCCAAGGCAGGACACAGAAGAGGCTTCAGAGCCAGGGAGGCCAAGCCAGGGAATCCCAGTTTGGCCCCAGAGCCTGGTCCTGCATTTTCCCCTGCCCTTGGTCAACCCCACTACCTGGCTAGAGCTGCCAGGGTGACATAGGGCATTGCCCAGCCCTCAGCAGGCACTGCCCTGCTAGGCCTCAGCCTCTGGGACAAGCCTCAGGTACCCAGGGCCACTCTCCATGGCCTTATATCTAAGCTTCCTGTCTCCCGGACAAGACCCTAGCTAGCCAAATGCCAGCTGCCTGGAAGAGCTGGGGCCTGACTCTGCTCTCCCTTCACCATCCTGGCTGCCTTACTAGGGCATTAAAACCCTAGGGGTCCTGCTGAGGGTGTGGCAGTGGAGAGGTGATTGTTCAGACAGGTAAGGCCCAGGACTTTCCGAATAACTGAAAGGGCATCAGGCTAAGCACGGAGAGGATGGGACGGGTGCAGCTGGAGTGGGAGTGAGGGACTCGGGTTTTGATCCTAGGTACTTGCTCCATGCCACCACAGTGGGGGCTTCCATCTCAGGATGTTTGTCTTTTCATTGACACACTGCAGGATTTGGACTGACATCCCTTGAGGCCTCTCCAGCTCTGATTTGCTTTGAGTGTCAGCCTGTGTGACCTAAATTCACCAGTTTCACCTATTCCTATGCCTGCCCCCTAGCAATATGCCTCAAGGTGGTGTTTGAAAATAACTACATTGGAGTCCAGGAGGTCTGGAGCACCTCCTGGTCTAATCCTGAAAGCTCCAGTTCTTGCCTTAAGCCATGCCAGTGGCCATCCTTGGCTCAGACAGCTCTGGGCCTTCTGAGGCTGAGGGTGGCTTCCCCTGGGGTCTCTAAGGCACAAAAGAAATTCAGCTCCAGCCAAGAAGCCTACAGTACCCAGATTTCTGCTCCCCACTGACCCTTACCCTGGCTCACACCCCTGGACAAGCCCTAGAGAATGTCTCAGAACTTGGTGGTCCTAGAAAAACACACAGAATATCTGGCATTTGGATATGTCCAGGGTATTTGTCCATCCACTGACAGGTGACCCTGGGCCCTGGTGGGGTTGGTGGGCTGGTGGGAGGTGGGTTGCAGGCAGCACTTGAGGGAATGGGCTGGGGCTCAGGCTAAGGACAAGGACAGCAGAGAAGAAATCTCATGCCCCTTCCCACACATACAGCCTCACCAGGCGGATTTCTGGTGTGTCGTCCACCACCCCATGTCAGCACTTTCCCAGGCCTGTCTCCCAGCATTGTGCAAGGCCCAGAGGAGAACCAGGAAGCAAAACTGGGTGAAAATAGAAAGCGACACAAGTTCCAGGATCACTGGGACAAAGTTGGCAATTTCTCTGATCACTAGAATCCACCCCATTCAGGAATCAAAGTTCCTGCCCGAAGGATTCTATCTCCATTGGATTTGAGAGCAAAGTCCTGAGACTCCGAGGGCAGAAACTGAAGGCAGCAGCTTCCCAAAGACTGGAAAATCCCTAAATGGAGAAGGTCTAGGGAGGAGGAGGGACAGGGGAAGGTGGAGGGAAGCCGTGGAAGAGAGCAGTCTGAAGATGCTTCTGTGCCACCACAGGTGGTTTCCCAGGATGGAAATTACACTTTACTTACCCGGAGAGACTGTTTGTGGGAGCATTTAGCCTGTGCCTACCACATACTGTGTCCTCAATAAACCAAGGTTGAACCCTGAGGTCCCGCGGAGTCTTCCCAAGCCCGTACGCCTCTGCAGGGGTCCAGTGGCCGTGGTCCAGAGGGGCTAGGGAGCAGAGCGTCCCAGGTACACGCCCTGGCACTGCGATGCCAAAGGCGCCTACCTAGGCCCCTAGTCGGGGCTCACATCTTGGTTCCATCCTAGATCGGGAGCAGCCCGATCGCTGCGCCCGCCACGTCGCCCTCTGCTGGCTGCTCAGCGGCCGCCTTCCTCCCCGCCGCCTCTCCCGGCGGACTAGGGACCTCCCCCGCCGCCCTGCGCGCCAGCTGCCTCCGTGCACCCTGCTGGCCTCCGGGTTTGCAGGGACTGGACCCCCAAAACCACACCTAGCAAGGAGCTTTCTGAGTCCTCACTCGGAGGCAGATTGGACCCTTCCTCCTCAATTCCCTCCTCAAACAGGAGTCAGTCTACACCCCCAGGGGCTCCACCTTAGGCTCAGGAAGCACCTCGCGTCCCACCACCTGAAATTGTGGGCGCGACAGTCCAAGTGAGAGGCAACTACTGAAAAAAAGCTGGGAGAGGCCTTGTCGAGGAACAGCCCAACCTAGAAAATCTATTCCTTTGCATTAGACGCCCTCTTAGGGAAACGGGCCCCAATTCCTTCTCCCACGGAAGACTTAGCCAACCCCTTGCAGCACCAGGTCAGTCCATGCCTGCGGCCTTATGCACTGGGGTCATGGGTCCCCCCACAACTGTCTTCCAGAGGACTCTTAGGCCAGCTTTGGGAGAGTGTTTCTAGCATCTCACAAAGGCAGCCTCTTCCCCCGGGACCACCAGTCTGGTTCTATTTGCACCCTGACAGTCACACTGAGCTTGGAAAGCCGGGAGAGGGCAGTAGGAAAATTGCAGAGCCAAAGTTCCCTGAGGGCTGGGCAGGGTCTAGGAAAGCAGAACTGGCCCATTGCTCTACAGGTCAGCAGAGCCCTGAACCCCTGCCTCCATACAGAGCCCCAAAGAACCTGCCTACCTGCCTCTGAAGGAAAAAAACCTGCTGCCCCCCCTTGCTTCTTGGCAGCTTTGCCCTAATTTCCTGGGGGACCACAGACTCCAACTTTTCTACCTATATAGGACGAGGGAGAGAATCGTCTGGGCGGTCAGGGCCCTGGGTCCAGGGCATGATGGGTGCTGTAGCTCGGTGGTCCCTGGAACATAAATCTTGATGCTTGGGTGGGAAAGGAATTAAGAAAAGGAACAAGCTATTTCATGTACATGCACCAACTCCCCAAGATGAATGTCAACTTCATGTACTGCAAACGTACTAATAAAATAAAAAATAAAATAAACCTTGATGTGAGGGCCACCCCTTCCCCAGCCAAGGCCTCATGGTACCTAGGCCCTCAGGGACAGTCCTCCTCTCCACCTTCCCAGGCACCGCCCTCCCCCGGTCCTGCCTCAAACTGGCCTTCCAGGAGGGTGCTCTGCTTCCTCCATAGCCTCCCTGGTGTGAAGATCAACAATCCAAAAAACAGCAAAGTGCTCATGCCTGCAAGGCCCACCCCGGGGCTGGAGTGGGGGTGCATATTCCAAGTCCAGGGTCCCAGGGCTGGGACTGCTGTTAGCTGTGTGATCATTGCTCTGGGTGGGCGACTCTTGGAACGAGCTGCTTCCACCAGGGCCACATTCAGTTTGCTAGAAATAGAGACAGAGGGCTTCTTGACTTTGCATATGATTTGCATAATGTCATAGACACAGTCTATTTTCAGGCAGTTTTCAGGTTCAAGTGTTGTCACTGCTGCCCTGCGGGGTGTCATGTCTGGATGAGTCTCTGTTCTGTTCTTTCTCACCCACCCACTCTTAATGACCTACATCCCCAGCTGCAGGAGCAAATGGTGATGTGGGGGAAGAGTGGGGTTGTCCAGGGAGACACGGCAGGGCAAGAGGACACTGGAATCTCCTTTGTCATCACCATCACTAAAAGCAGAGTAGTTGCTCAAGAGCAACCCATGGGGAGAGGGTAAGGAACAGGAAGCCAGGTAGCCCATTTCCTTTCCTGCCTCTCCTAGTGGCACTGCCAGTTCCTGTACCCACTGTTCAGTCTTATGCCAGTTTGAAGAAAGGTGTCTAGATAGATAGACCTGTGCTTCTCAGCCACCCAGAAGCCTTGGTTGGCCAAAATATCCCTTATGGGCATCTATTTGCAGCACTCAGGTTGCCTCCTAGGAAAGTTGCTTTTCCATCTGCCGCTCTGCTAGGAAACACATCTGAACAATTGGGATCCTTGTTTGATAATCAATATTTACGAAGCACCTGGCACATAGAAAGAGGTCAGTCGGTGCTACAACTCCCTTCCTTTCCTTCATATAGCAGCCTGTGCAGAGCACCTGATTGTTCCTGTGGGTGCCCGACACAGGCACCAGTCTGAGGGCTCAAAGATAACCCCACCAGAAGGGTCAGTTGGGATGGCTGTCACTAAGCTGTGTGTGATCTTAGCAGGTACTTTGGCTCTCCTAACCTGATAAAGAGGGGTTTGGTGAAGATTAGGGACAAAGGCAATTCCCCTCACTTTATAGCTAGAGCTGTTTAGCCACCTGTCCTTGGTCACAGAGGGTCAAAGAGAGAGTCCCTCTTAGAACTCCCTCCAACAAGTCCTCTGGCTTTGGGGCCAGTTTGGTGTGGTATCTTCTTATGGCTAGAGAGCTTTTACTTTCTCTTCTGTGCATCGAAGGATTCACCAAATGCCAAGGCAAAGAGCCTGACTCCTGGGAATTGCAAAGCTACTCAGCCAGGCTACCCATCTGCAACACACTACCCAGAATTCCTGGTCCTCCTGGACCTGCCTCATTCCCTCAAGCAGGCGTTTCCTGTTGATAAGAAGCTCAGTCACAAACACTGATAAAGAGATGTAAAAAGGAAACTGACAGGCTTGGGTATAATGGGCATTCTGTCTGTCTTTTCTACCCCTCTTCCTTCTCCCAGCACCACCCTCCAAACTGCTTCCCAGAACTAAAGAGAAAACACACTGCCCCCGCCCTGCCCTGGGCCCTGTTTAGGAGTTTCCAGGAATTTAGACTGGAGACTTACACAGCTCTCCATGTGGGACCTAGCTCGGCCAGGCTGGGATAGAAGCCCAGCAGCAGGAAGCACTGCGTGCCGCCGAGGCCCCCAGCCCCAGGGAAAGGGCATGGCGCAGGAAGGAAGGACCAGCCAGCACAGGTTGCATTCAAGGCCTTTCCTCCTCTCTCTCGCTCCCTCCCTCCTCCCAGAAGCCTGGATCTAAGTCATGATTAGGTAGCTGGATAGTCTATAATTAGTGGATTTTCCATGATTTTACTCTGAGGCTTATTAATGGAAAAATCTCATTACTTTTTGACTGACTCTACTAATTTGGAATCTTTACTCCTTCGGGACAAGAAGTGGGAAAGTTGTTTAGGAAAATAAACAGAACAAACCAGTTTTCAAAGCACCCTCTACTGCTAGGTTTTGGCTTCTTGAACTCAGATTGACAGTTTCTCTGGAGCTCTCGGCCTGCAGTTAAGATGTCCTGCCACCAGGTGGGTGAGGAGACTTCACCTCACGTTGCCATCACTTGGGGATAGAAGGTTTACATTGGATCATTCGTTTCCCTTCCTCCCCAGAGATGCGATTCCTTAATAAAACAAACATGAAGAAGTGTAATAGAAGCCATGCATTGTGGCACATGCCTGTAATACCAGCATTCTGGGAGGCTGAGGCAGAAGGATCATAAGTGTAAGGCCAGCCTGGGAGAATATAATAACTTTGCAAGACTTTGTCTCAAATTTTTTAAAAATACCTGAGGATGTAGCTCACTGGAGAGGCTCTGGGTTCAAACTTCGGTACCACAATAAATGAATAAATGAATGAAAATCAACAGCTATTAACAACTTGGAGAATTTCTCTTGAATTCTTAACTATTTCCAGTCCTGGTACAGCCCAACCAAAGTCTTGTTCTGGCTTCTGGCCCTCTCGGCTCTCTGCATTCTTGACACTTGATGGAAGGAGCAGAGACGTAAAGAACAAAGAGTTTTATCCCAGTCTAAATTCTAGCTAGGCTTTGTTTTGTTTTGTTTTTCAGTTGATCCCATAAATTTATTCTAAATCTTATATGGAAGAATATGTTCATGAAGATGTAAGTCAATGTTTTCTTTATTTTAGGTTTTGGTTTTGGTTTTGGTTTGCATGCTAGGCAAAAACTCTACCACTGAGCTAGGGTACTTTTTGAATAAGTTGTGCTTTCATGTGATTCAAAACCAAACATCAAAAAGTAAATGGTGAAATGCCTCCTTCCCATCTTTGTCTCCATCTCAGGTCCCCTGAGCCCCCACAAGAAACCCCTGCTGTCCCTCTAAAGTGCTTTTATATGTATACAAATATATGTCTACAAATGAATGTGAATATGGCTTTTTTTTTTCTTTTTTTCCAATACTGGGGATCAAACTCAGGACCTTGCACTTGCAAGGCAGGCACTGGCACCACTGAGCTAAATCCATGGTCCTGAATGTGGCTTTTTGTTCCCCTACCCCTTACATAAAAGTAGCTTGTTTTATATATATACTATTCTGTACCTTAGTTTTTCTGGGGGGTGGGTACTGGGGATCGAACTCGGGACCTTGCGCTTGTGAGGCAGGCGGCAGAACCACTGAGCTAAATCCCCGGCTCTGTACCTTACTTTTTTCACTTAATAATATATTTTAGAAGGCTGGGGATTTAGCTCAGTGGTTTCGTCACCTGCTGCGCAAGCGCAAGGACCCAAGGTTGATCCCCTGTACCAAAAAAAAAATAATAATAATACATTTTTAGAGATCTTTATATATATCAGGACAGAGAGCTTTCACCTTACCGTTTTACAGTGGTATAATATTCCACTGTTTGCACCATAATCAAATTAGTTTCTACTTTTAAAAGTTTGGGTTATTTCCGTCTTGGCTATTATAAATCATGTGACAAGTAAACTTTTAAATATATTACTTTGCTACATTCAAGTATTTTTGTAAGATAAACTATAAAAAGTGGAATTCCTG